GTTCTGAAAATAAAAATGAGATTATGTATTGATGCCAGGCTTCATGTCCTGGAAACTGAATTCATAAATGAAATAGTGAGTAGAATTAGTTTGATATTTTTCTAATTGCTGACCAGTGTAATGGACTCGTTTCTATAACATTTAATTTTCTAAATGATTTAAGGGTGATTGCTTATTAAATTTCCCGAAGTGTATAATATTGTTCATTCTGTACCGAATTAAATAATGAATTGGTCTACTTTTCAATTAACAAACTGCATGCACGAACACAGACCACATACTGTCATGTGTTTTATAACCTTACCCAGTATAGTATTTTCGGAGATGATGTTCTGTAGACTGAACATTTCGGCTTCTGAGTCAATCCTGATAAGTTGTGAGCGCTGCTGCATACAGAGATCCGTAGCGCTCGTCTGGTTCATGCTAAGTTCGCTTGCTCTGTAGACATGAAACCCGTTCAGGATTGAGCGGAAGCCAAGGGATGTGAATATACCTAAAATTTATAATTGCATTGTTGAAGTTTCTCTCTCGTTGTCATAAAATAGAAAATATAAGACAATTATTTCTTTATTATATATTATTGATTAACCATCTTGAAATTAATGTAATACAGACAAAAAACTTGTCCCGGGCAATATTTATCAAAATATTGGCCTCTACGTGAAATTGTCGGACAATACGGAAAAAAACCGGACAATACAAGACAAATTGGCCAATACAGCTTTGGCGCGAAACGAGCGCATCCCGAAATTCTCTACGTCATTGTCCAGATGCGTTTGGAATAGATGGTCTTACGTTACGCTTACGAAAATAAAACGAGCAACAAAAAGCAGGCGAACAATATTGACAGACGATTGAACAAGAAAGATGAGCTGTTTCAACAATTGTGACTGTGTGTTTTATGGACTTTAAAAAAAATATTTTCTAATATTTTCAATTAAATTTACCAGTTTGGAAATATGTTATATCAAAAGTTAAATTTATATACAAACAATGAACGTATTTAAAGTGTTGGAACGTTTCAAAACCGTTTGTTCCCCTTTTTCAAGATATGGCTGAGTGAGCGATTTGTATTGGTTTATCTGTACAACGATATAACGAAATTATGTATTTCATGGCACTCGATCCGGGACATTTCGGCTATTGATATTGAGTGTATATACAATTTCGTCACATCGTTGTATTGGTAAACAATATAAATCGCTCACTCACTCAAAGCTTGACAAAGGGTTTGGTTTAGTTTGGTTTAATTTTGTTTAACGTCCTATTAACAACTAAGGTCATTTAAGGACGTGCTTCGATGTGTGTAGTGTATGCGTGCCTGCCTGTGTGGATGCAGGAAAAAGTGTATGTTGGCGCGAATCTGATGCCAACTTTATAGTGCTATCTCACTGAAATACCATGCCGATGGCACCTAGCACAGCATTCCGCCCGGTCACATTATACTGACAATGGGTGAACCAGTTATCGCCATTTCCCTTAATGCTAAGCGTTAAGCAGGGAATAACAACTACCATTTTTAAGGACTTTGGTATGTCCCGGCCTGCGGACAGAACCATTTGCCTTCCGCACCCGGGCGAACGCTCAACATTTAAGCCAAAAGTGATGTGTTGTCAAGCATGGCGCTTGGAAATAAAAGGTAGTTAGTAGTGGAAAGAAAGATAAAGATCCTAAATATTGCAATGGGCGCAGCAAATTTATGTTGGTCGCCTTTGTGTCCCAAAATAGTGGACACCAAAGCAAATCCCCAAATATGCAGGGAATTCACTCATTGGTCGCCCCCTACGATTCATGCAGTGGATAATTTTCCCGAACCCCCACCTGCAGGGGTGGCTTGACAACGGGACCAGTCGGTCTTCAAACATTGCGACACATTTCATACGTACGTAAATTGTGCATAAATTATTGATATCATTATAATGTAAAATATTAATTTTACGTTTGTCTTGATTATGTTTGTTTTTGCGATCACAGGGTTAACTAATAAAGTAATCATTGATCAATAATACTATAATATGGATCAATAGTACTTAAATATTCATGCGTCAATATTTATATAAATTATTTTTGGCTATTCCCCAAATGGTAGACTTTTACATGTTATATCGTATTACCTAAAAGACAGGCAACACATAAAATGATGACGACGTATACCACAATGTTTGGCGCGGTATTTGTAACTATAACTTCTGATTGGTTGAAGTAACTTGGCGATGCAATTACTGCACAATGTTGTGTTTTGTGTTAAAAAATGTGTTGTTTTATTGGACACGAATAAATATTCAAAATGTATGACTGAAAACAATGTTGTCTGGTTCTAAACTTAAATTATAAGGAATAACAAGAAATATTGTTGGGGTTACTCGGTATTTGTTAATGCGTACAGGTATGTTTCAGTACACAACGTATAACCCAAAAATAATCCTGTTTATTCCTTAATGATACCTTTGTTGACAAAAAAATGTGATGGTTCTGTTGAGACTGTTGCTATATGGCAGGAACTGCAGATGTAAACCGGGACACATTCCCTGGTCCTTGTCAAATGTAAAAAATAGACAGGTTTCGTCTTGCAGACACTGTTGACAGCATGCTGAGAGAAAATTGGACTTCATCTCAAATACAAGATCGGTTTCAAAGGTTGTTGATGGCAGCAAGCGAAAAAAGTCTTATTTCTAGAATACAGAAACAGTTTAATATAAACTTTCTTATTTTACAACAATTATTAAACAAGTTTCTCCAACTTATATTAATCAATCATGTTGGCCAAGATTGAATCGCGCAGAGGGTTTTAATGTGGGAGGAAACCGGAGTATCCAGTGAAAAATCACATGGTCGAGCAAATATCTTGCTGCAAGGCGGATGTTCTATCTACAACGCCAGCAGAACACCTTGGATTTGATAGAAGTTCAATCTATCAAACTAATTTGACACGGGACGTCTGGAGAACGTCCAGAATACATCACATTCTGGTCACATATATAAAAGAATCTGTTTTATCGATTTGTAACGATCGTCGTACCTCTGCCAAAAACTGAAACTAAGTAGGAAGATAACCATACATTGGAGGACTTTTATAAGAAATAATAAAGATGAAATAAATAACACTTAATCAACCAATGTTCTTATCAGAACAGTGTGCTCATTCTTTGAAAACTCTTGTTTATTTCATGTAAATTTTCTTATTTCTCAGAAAATGACCTCATAAATTGAGTGCAACAACAACTGGGAATAATTCCAGGAATGTAATATTAGTTAAAATACCCTGATGAATGTCCCATTCTCTGGGCCAACACCCCTGCGCTCAGTGACCTTGGAAATATGCGCCGAAACACACGTGTAGACTCCCAGCGCTGTCGGTATACATCTGTAATGTCGCGTTCGATGTCCAGAAACGATCAAACATCAAGGTAACCCCATTATAATCTGACAGGAATACATACCACAATCTGAGATCCTCACGCACCTCGCGGGTAACCCTAGTCTTAACTTAAATTGTTGCGTCAATTAATCTGCTGGAAAAAGACCTGCCTGGGGCCATCACTTGGCAAGCAAAAATCAATGATCCGATTAAAGACTACAGGTTCCTTAAGGTAACTTTCACCTTACCCATTACATTCACCAAATCAGCCCTTAATTGATTTAATTTATCAGCAGGGAGCCGCATTTGCATTAGAATAGTATCAAACTCAACACCCAAAAATGTGAGTACCTGTGTAGGGCCAACAGTGTTCTCCTGTGCCAAGGGAACACCCCATAACGCACAAGAGTCTTGGAATGTTTTCAAAGAATGAGCACACTGTTCTGAATTGATTTCCCCACCCATAAGGAAGTCATCTAAATAATGCAAAAAAATCAGAAACATGACTCCTTGAAGTACTAAACCACTGAAGGGATGTGGCAAATTTCTCAAATAAAGCACATCTAATTGAGGCTCCCATGGGGTGGCATTTGTCAAAGCAGAAATTATCCTCAAAACAAAAACTTAACTGGTCAAAATCCGCCGGCCGTATGGGTAGTAGCCTAAAGGCAGACTTAATATCTGACTTGGCCAATAAAGCACCCCGCCCCAGTCTCTGTATCATGCCAACCGCAACATCTATCGTGCTGTAATGCACGGAACAAAGTTCCAGCAGGGTGTGACGGGTGATGAATGACCCTAAAATCATTGTCGTTTTTAGGAACCAGACCCAAGGGAGAAATACGTGATGTTGGAAATTGTGGGGAGTGCAATGGCCCTGCTATACGCCCCAGAGATACTTCTTTTTGAAGTTTTCCTCTCAGCACTTCCGGGGCCTCCTTGACACTTTTAAGATTGTCCGTGGGCCACTATACTGGAGTTTGAACCCAAATTTATATTTAAATAATTAGTATTTTCAAATGGTCAAATCGGCGCATTTAAAAAAATATATGCTGGCCCTGAATTACCAAAGTGATCGATGGGTCATTCAATACAAACAAATCATAAAACATCGAGATCTTCATTTCACTACAAATAATTTGATTACGCAATGCAAAATATAATAGGTAAAATTACTTTTTTTCTTTTCATATTTATTTTATTCATTTGTTTAAAAATTTCTATTTGGAAGTAGAAGGACTGAATCTATGAACTTGAAGAACGGATCGGCTGTAGCAAAGCAAACGCCGTTTATGTAAAGTGTAAAAGTATCTTTTTCTATGTTTATACAATATTGAAAACCGATGTTAAATTTCAACTGACTTGATTTAAATCCTTTTGAAAATTCGATTAAAATAAAATGTTCTAGATTGAAACAGGGGTAAAGGCGTTAAACTGACAAACATAAGTAGGTCGTCAAGTTCATGAATGGCTGGTCATTGTAAATATCAGTAAAAGTGACACTTTAATCATTATTACTTGCCTGTCCATAAAATTACATGCAAGTTCCAAAAATTGCTGCATTTTCACAAGGTTCTTCCATAGGTAGTTATACATATATATAAAATTGTGCCACATATCTTGTATAAAGATAACGACAAAATGTAGTGCACGTAGACTTTCGTGCAACCTTATCGTTTACTTTGACCTGGAACCAACTCAACATGGAGTATGGTGTTGTTTTAGTAATGTTGTTAGCTGTGGCATTTGCCATAAACAGTCACGAGGATCATAAGTATGATAATCTTCTAAATGAAGTTTCGGCTTTGAAGACATTCGTATTCAACATGAACGTTGAATTGGATAAGGTCCGAAAAAAGTACGATGACGTGCACGAGGAGCTCAGAGCAGTCAGGTAACTATCTAACACAGGTAAAGAAGAGGAATAGCTTAAAGAGCGTAAGGCAGGTAAAGAGGATGATTTGTATAAGGAGCGTATGGAAGTTAGATAAATATCAGCTACACCTAAAACAGAACTATTTGTTTGAGGTTCATAGGGCACTCGAGTAAATATCGGCTACACCTAAAGTAGGACGATTTGTTGGAGAAGCGTAGGGTATTCAGATAAAACTACCAGCTATACTTAATTTTCAAACATGAAGAGCTCAGAGCAGTCAGGTAAATAACAGCTGCACCTAAAGTAAGATTATTTATTTAAGGCGAACAAGGCAGTTAAATATCAGATATATTTGAACGACGATTTGGAGCTTCACATTAAGAAGTTAGATTTGTTTGTGGATATTAAGGTAGTCAAGTAAATATCAGCTACACCTAAAAGAGAAGGTTTTGTTTGATTGCAATAATTATTTGGGGTTAAGCTTGACGTCAGGGGTTATTGTTTATTGTCTGTCGATTGAATGGCGACTGATTTTTTTTTAAATGCTTCTAAAATATATCATGACTAACTTAACAAAAATTACAGCTGCCTAGAGGGTCAGCAATGATACAAAACTCGCAGTTTGTGAACATAGACGTTTAAGTATCACGTCACAAATATTAGCGTGTGAAAAAGAACAGCCTTATTTAACCGATAATATTATCTAAGTCACCTTGCTTATCAAAGGCGTAAAAACACCGAGGTAAACACGAAAAAAACTTTCGCTTCATTTTACAATATATATATATATTATCAACATATGTATGTAAATTATGGTGGAATATATGACTCAGGAATCGAATATGTTGGAAACATAACCAACTCAAGCCGCAAGCGGACTTCGTGAATTAGTTTTTGCAACATTTTCCCACCCTAGTTACGTATACGTTGATTATTTCTTATTAAAATAATGACTGATTCTGACAGATGAAACTAAGGTTAACCCAACATTAAATATTTTCTGGGTTTTTTTTCAAGGAGTGAACAGCAAGTCATGGACACGTATCCCATAACTCCGAAACCAGACGCATATAACAACTATCCAAAACGCAACGAAGACAACGGGGGAACAATTCAACAGAACACAAGGGCAGCAGGTACGATATTTTCTGAATACTTACCCAAGAGTGCATTAACAATAGTTTCATTTCTGTACTATATATAATGCTAGTTATGTTAAGCGTTTTTGTGGGTTTGTTACCTATGAATGCTTTTTCAAGTAAAGAAATGCAATGTTATTCAAACCTTAACAGCAATGCTGGAAAACCCTTTACTTAAACCCTGATTCAAAAAAATATCTAACTCAGGGTTGCTTTGTTTACAGCAAATATGCCAACCTTCCATTTGTCCAGTGTTTGGAATGGATCGAAAGGTACGAAAACTACATAATTCTTTCTGAGTATGCTCTTTGTGATTACATATTTGTTTCGGCATCCTTCAATGACGTATAATTGTTTTGTCATCCTACTGTCATACGGTGTTGTAATATTAATGATATTTCATAAGATAAACTATGCTTTTGTCACGCCTTATGAATCTTAAAAGCGAAATGATATCTTTTAAAAGCAGCATTCGGGCCGAAGGGTGAAAAGGTAGATTCGGGCCCCCAAGGACTTCAAGGAGTCAAGGGAACAATCGGGCCTCCGGGGTCAAAAGGGGAAAACGGACACAAAGGAGGCAACGGGAAAATTGGAATCGCGGGACCGAAAGGGGATATCGGGACAACTGGATCAAAGGGACAGAACGGGGCCAATGGGAGACCTGGTACTACTGGACCTAAGGGACCAAAAGGCAACACAGGTGAGATAAATGTAGAATACACTCCAAATGATCTTATGATAACATTTGATATAGTCAGACAGGATATGATATAAAATTAACACATGTGTACTATTCAAGGCGAGTGTTTTTTTACCAAGCAGTCTGTATCAGTGAAACTGAAACTGAAATAAAACTGTCATCAAAAGGACGCTAAACCAAGTCATCAAACATATCCTTTCTACATTAAACATACTATAAAACGGTATTAGCACCCAGAAGTTTTCATGATCAAATATAAATGTGCTGCTTCCACCAATGAAAACGAGAGAGAGAGAGAGAGAGAGAGAGAGAGAGAGAGAGAGAGAGAGAGAGAGAGAGAGAGAGAGAGAGACTAGATTCGGTTAAGTTGGTAAGCATGAAGGAGGGCAAGAAAATATACTCAAAATATGTAAGTATCATAGTAGAAGCTGCAAGTCAAGTGGGAATCATTTTATCCGCATAGTTATTACAAATAAAAATGAAGTGATATGTATCTTCGAAAGGATGTGCACATTGACAGTGCTTAAAAGCTATTCAATTGGCATGAAATAAGGGATTGATTACGGTGCTAAAGTTACTTCTCCATTTGGTGTAAGGGTAAGTGTCATAGAAACAAACAAAACACTGACAAATATGAGTTTGTACACTGAAAACATAATTCGTCGTCTTCAACGTTACCATTGTGACCTTGACAAATGATCGCGGATTGTACTGTTGTGAGTGAAACTTGAAATTTTATGACAATTTTGCTGTATTGCGATTGTTAATTTCAAATCTGCATTTGCTTCTGGTTTTCTTATATATTATCTGCATCATCAAATCAAATGTAACATTTTAAAATGAAGACACGCTTAAAAAAACAACTAAAGCCGACATGTCGGCAAATGCAAATAAGCTTCGGACGCCGTCACCATCGTGGCACCATCGGGATGTACACATTGCAGCAATTAATCTTTTTATGAATACAATAATGAGCAGCGGACTGGGAGAACAGGACGTCGACGCATGATATTCTAGCGTAATTCATTAAAAAGGCCATGACTTGGGAATGGTGCTTATTTGTTCCTAGATTTCTAATTGAGTTATTGCTTTTACTCAATTATGCATTTAAATTTTAATTTTGAAATTGTTTATCAAAAGTTATCAAACAATAGTCTCCATCCGTAGTCGTTGATTGACAATTAACATCATGGTACATTTCGTTTGAAATGTTAGCGGATACCATCTTTTGAAGGAATCATGATCGTTGACATTTTGTTAATCTTTCTTTGCTGTATAAGATTTTGATGAACCAGGTGGCAAAGGAAGTCAAGGATACATGGGACTCATTGGTCAAAAGGGTGAACCAGGACAAACCGTAGCAGGTAATACAAAATCAACATTATATGTACAAAGTAAAATATAAACAAGAACCCAAAAGAGAAAGTTTCTACAAAGATACAAACAATATATATATTAAAGTGCATTTCATATGTATATAGTATATAATGAACAGTTTTATTCAGAGTCATCGCTAAAGAAAATACAAAAGTTAAAGCTGTTGATAAAGATGGTGCTTTAAGCGGAGTATTGTATCAATAGAAAGTTGTTTTAAACAGCATTTAAGACAGGTTTTCTTGTGCACACGACTTAATGACTACACTCTTATACTCGTATATCGACTATGGCACTATTTCAATTACATAGCATTGCTACAACTTAAAACAGCATGCCATCTATTTTTTCTTACATTTGAAAATGGGTCAAAACACCACGAAAACCTAACATTTTCACAAAATGTTCGATATTTCTATACCGAAAACAGTAAACTTACCCCACCTTGTTTACGTAGATTCCCACAGGTTCCGCAGTTTCCGCTATTTCGGACCTCTAATATAAACTATGTAATACATATAGATAATCAACAATATAAAACGTGTTTAATTCATTGAATATAACTGGATGGACTTATCTTAAAAATAGAATCTTAGATATATTTTTAAACAATAGGGAAATACTTATTGTCTCAATTGATTAGATGAACATTTTCCGTCACACTATATTGGTTTTACGAGTTTTAATGCCAGGTGGGCTACAAAGTGAAAACAAAGAAGTCTAACAGATAGTTTGTCCTCCATTAGCCTGTATCACTGCATTGGTGCAATGTCGTCAAGACCATGTGTGACGTCTAAAGATGTTTGCAGGAATAACAACAGTATAAACAACAGTATATTTTCAGCGTACTGATTGAAGTGACAGTCGACGAAAGATCATGTAGTTGTATGATATATCTAATAAAAAAACCTGCTCAGTTCACGGTCCGCTTCAAATGAAAGATTATGGTTTAGTAGACTAGTCCGGTTCATCAAAACAAGATTCTGCAGTACCGGAAGTAAATGGTTGTAAATTAGAAATATCATGCAGGCGAAATTGAACAAATTATTTGAAATAAATAAAATGATACAATTAGGGTTATAAATATTTACTGGAAATAATGAGATCGATTTTGCGGTTTGAAAGACGTTCATTGTCAGGGAAGTCAATTCAAACAATAAATGATATATCTTATTTAACAGGTTCTAGTGAATGTCTTATGATGACTAGAATTTGACAAGATAATATTCCAAATGACTTGATATGAGCATCCCGACTTCTTAAATATATTGAATTCGCACAAAACCAAGTTCACAGTTCTTTAAGTTGGTTTGCTTTGCGGTACCTTTTGTCTTGTTGCAGATGCAAACATGTTTTTTTTATTTTTTGAAATCAATACNTCTTATGTTGAAATTTGCGAATTAGGAAGCAGTTTATAACATAAACAAAATGTTACCAATTAGGTGTAAATATTGTACATATTATCATATATTGTATCTTGACCATATGTAAGATGAGCTTCATGCTCAATATGTTATCAAGAATAATAAAGCCTTTATTATTATTATTATACCAAACTAACCACTCCGTCAGATGGATTACTCGAAGTTAATACGCTGACAAACTTAATGTATTCTGAAAGGATAAAGAAAAACATTTGAGGTGATATAGTGTTTTGATAAACACATTACCATAAAGAAACACAGGTTGAACATTTGAGGTGATTTAATGTTATGTATAATTTATTGTGTAAATATAAGTATAAAATCCATCTTTTATAAAGTCATAACCGAAATTTCTTAAGATTTTGACCGATGATTTATGAGTTATTGAAGCACATTTGACTGTACCCACAATAACGCAAAGTGAAATCGGGACTCGTCAGTATCTTGTATGCCCCGCTCGCACATCTGTCACAGCCTATATTCTACTGTGTATCCTTCTAATGGGCATATTGTTCTAATTTTCAACCAAGGCAGTCCTAAACTGGTCGAAAGTAGCGAGGACATTCCGACTCCCCATTGCGCTCCTGTCAAGTTCGTCCCACAGATGTATGATGATTTGCGAGAAAGTCTTGACAAACGACGCGTCTCTATACGCGCATGCGTCTCGATCATAGTCGGTCGGCTAACATTCCGGTGTCTCTCAGACGACTGACAAGACGTTCTATGGTGGAAGCATTCACACAGAATTGCATAGCAATTTGTTGTTGCCTTTGACCCTGCATTAGCAATGCAATAAACTGACCCTCTGAACTTCCGTCAGCCGTACCATGATTGCAATTGATTCAAATCGACATTGAATAGCGAAAAGCGATGTATACACCACAAGAGTATCAAGTTGTACGACAAGATGTGTTGACGATACATTACACGGTTGAGTAACTTTAGACCCGGTTTGAGTGGACAGTGACCAAGATACGCGTCTAACCGGTTTTTGTAATTTTAAGCCAAGCAGTTAAATAATTTTTGCATACTTTGTAACACTGCGTTTTTCTATACTTTCAGTATATTATTATAAAAATGAAACTTCTTCGTTTCCATTTTGTTCTCAATTTGTGACTGGTCTCTGAAAAAGTCCAAGAATTACAAAATATTGTTTTCTTAAAATCTAAGTTAAGTGTTGTAAAGCACTTAAGCTCTTAATGTAATTTTTAGTGAAAAAATCGTTGCGACTTTAATGCCGGATTTCCCTAACATAAAACTAAAGTCCATGGCTCCTACAGAAAGAAGTCAGGTCGTGTGTTCATCGCTTTAGGAGATATCTCAAGAATAATCTATGACTGTGGTATATGTGCAATTTGTAATTTTAGCCAACGGTATAGCATACAAACTTCATATAAACCTTCTCTCAAACAGACTATGGGTTGGAATTGAGAACACCAATATCAGATAAGGGATGACATGAGGAAGGGAATAATATGAGGAAGCTACCTTTAAGGAACGTAACTTTCTACATGAATTTCCACTATAACCTACACCGCCATTTGAAATTAAGTAATTCTAATAAGGATAAAAACAAAATGAAGATAAGTATCTAAAACTTTGCAAAAAAAGTAATCAAGGTCAGACAAACNAGATAAGTATCTAAAACTTTGCAAAAAAAGTAATCAAGGTCAGACATTTCTTTTACTACAGAGAATAGCTAAAACATTATATAATATCGATTGGAATGTTATCTTTTTAATACTATAGGTAAAATGTGGATTTGATTTGACTGACTGTTGTAGGATTGACATTTTACAATAACTGCATATCAATATTGCAGATTTTAACGACCACATCTTAAGTTATTATCCTTTTAGCTGTATCAGAATTGTATTTGCGCCATTTATCGAATCATTATCATTTATTATTGTTTTTTCATATTATTCCCGACAAGTGAATGGCCAGGAGTGCATCACGTGTCCACCGAGAAAAACCGATATTGACTTGGAGCGCCTGATTTTTGTTGAAGGACTCGGTGTTTCTAAAAATAGAATCATGACGTGTCTCCAAACAATGCAACGTCCCACTTTCGAAGCTTTTCTGTTGTGTTTTTTTCTTTCTGATCGCTTACATTACTGTTTTGTAAAATAATAAAACAATTGTAGCCTTTAACTTCGGTCAATACCTGGATTTATCGACCCGGGAAAAGAAATATTGACATCGGNTCAATACCTGGATTTATCGACCCGAGAAAAGAAATATTGACCCCGGACTGCGTATTCGGTCAATATATCTTCTCTCGGGTCAATAAATCCAGGTATTGACTTTAGCCAGAGGCTATAATTGAATAATATTTTAGCACTATGTGATAATTAAATAAGACCAAACCGTAACAATGTTGTTGCCGTAGGCTGCAACCAATCCCAGGTTTCTAGCCTGGGATAACCTCAGTTATAACTATACATACATATACACTTGACAAAACTAAATATACATAGTTATAACACTGAACCATTTCATTCAACCCTTTAATTTTTCTTCTCAGGAACAAACACGATGGTCGTATTTTCAGCTATGGTGATAACTCCAATACTTAACATCAAGAAATACGCCGTGATTGAGTTTAAAGACCAAAAGCTGAATATTGGTGGCTTTTACAATCCCGTTAACGGAATATTCCGATGCGGCGTGCCCGGTGTTTACATGTTCTCATGGTCCATAGTTGCCAATGCTGGATATGATTTGATCACCAGTTTAGATGTTAACGGAGTATCGACGGGAAACGTCATTGTTGATAATCCAGCCCAAAATGTAAGCAGTGGGTCTAACACTGTCGTACTTGATTTGAACCGTGGAGATGTTGTTGCTGTTAAGGTCTGGGAAACTTCAACGGGAGCCGGGCTACTCATTGGACGTGGTTCTTCATTCTCTGGATATTTACTTCACTAATAAATATGTAACATTTCATCTAGTGCGAGTGTTTGCTCAAATTTTCTCAAACGAAAAAGAAACTTCTCAAACTGTTTACGTTTGCCTACCACTAATATCGCAACGCCGAACAAGCCATATGCGATAGGTGACGGCACGTATGTCTAGGCACTATTGTATGAAACATTGGAGGTCCATGATCAACACTGTTGAATCTCGACGTCTTCTTTTGATTTGGGGGTGGATTGGTTATGGTTTAAGATGGCAATTCTCATGGTTTGAAGACACTTTTAGAACACTGTTGAATCTCGATTCAACTTATTTTTCAAGTAGACGGCTTCTTTTGATTTGGGGGTGGATTAGTTATGGTTTAAGATGGCATTTCTCATGGTTTGAAGACACTTGTAGTGCTCGTTAATTGAAATTTAACGGATGCCCCTTATCGACATGAGATCCTACGGTCCTTTATTGTGCCTTATGTTTTGAGGCATCATTTAACTCTTTAGCAGGATAATGCGAGACCGAGAGTTTTGTCTTGCAATACGAAACATCATTCATAGTTTAAACATAAAAACTGAATAACCATACTTTCCTATATATGTGCACAATTAAAATTATGACTTAAGAAAGGCATGCCTGTTTCCGCAGTACATTTATCAAATATAAGCCTCTGTTTATATCATTATCAACATTTTATTTCAACTAATAACATGATGCATCAATTAAGCATAATGTAAATGTTACGTTAAATAAATTTGCATCGTCAGGGAGCTCGAAGGTATGTCGCGGTGTGGAATTATCCAAAAGTTGTGCTGAAGGCATTACAACATGTATCAGTCATGGGATGAAACGTTATATTTGGTACTTAACATTATATACCAATCTTCATGAAGTAAAAAATGTATCATAATTATACTATTCTAATTCAGTTGGAAAGGAAATATTCCAGGTCAGCATGGCGTAGGTGGTACTGTGTCAGCTTTTTACCTCAAGGTCGTTATTATGGACTCTTTAACAGGGAGGATATAATTATGTTCTTGTATAAGTCACATAATCCTTGATTGCTCACATATGTCAGTCTTGATTAAGGTATCTATGTAAGTGTGATGAAGTATTCAAGAGGTCTATTGTTTCTATGTGAGCAGTTGGTGATATGGACCCATAATAAAAACAATGCAGTTGTACAAACATTAGGCATGCACATTGGCACTGGGCATGCATATGCGTGTATTTAAATAGGGTCTTTTGTAATGATACTCCTGCTTAAAGCTGCCACCACAGACTGTAATTGAGAGGATTACAGTTAAGTTAATTTAAAACCTCGTTAAATTCCACATATGATACGCAAGAGTAATGTGCTAATTTTCAGTAAATTATATATTATATTTTTTAAAAATTACAGAGGTTAAGAGGTATAAATCTAAGTTTCACTTTATACACAAACAGCATACGCATAAATATGAAACAGTTAAGGCCGATATGGCCCCGCCAAACTATGACTTAGCAAGCGTTCTTCATTTTGTTTAATTGTGGAGCGACGAAAGAAAATTTCCTCGCAGTATTTAATTGTTGGGCGTTGATTGTAACTCCGCTACACAATGATGATTTTACAATTGGTGCATCGACCGACTGTCCATTTTTATTTTCTCCTTGAATTGTCTGCTTTCGATATGCTTAGCATATTTAACAACATTGACATTTTTTCAATCGATGAAGTGATTTTGTGATTGAAAGGTCTTCTTATGCCCATTTATTGATCTAAGTAGACTATATTTTTCCAGCATTCCCGGGAAATTATTGCAAGCCACATTGTCGATAGTCTTTTGCTGTTCTTATGAATTAACTCACAGTTTGTGATGTGAAACATTGCTGATGAATCGCGCTTGGAATCCATTATACATTGCTGCTTTTTTTCTGGTTATCTGGTCTTTCGAATAACCAAATTAGCATTTGGATGTTGTTTTCTGTCACATCCGGACAAACGATTCGCGTTAATGTTTCAGAAACTATTTTTATTGGCCTTTAATGTGTAATCTCTCCCTGTGCCCATCATTTTCGTCCGGAAATTATGTTGACACTTATACCAGGAAGTAAATANGACAAACGATTCGCGTTAATGTTTCAGAAACTATTTTTATTGGCCTTTAATGTGTAATCTCTCCCTGTGCCCATCATTTTCGTCCGTAATAATGTTGACACTTATACCAGGAAGTAAATGTTCGTATGATACAGAGTGCAGTGCAGTACCGAAAGGCTATCTGATGTGTGATGAATTATGGTAAACTAGGTTTGATGGTACCTCTTCCTCCCAAGACATTACGCCTGTTCAAAAATGGTACGGATTCCATTTTCTCTACTTGCGAGTAANGTGCAGTGCAGTACCGAAAGGCTATCTGATGTGTGATGAATTATGGCAAACTAGGTTTGATGGTACCTCTTCCTTCCAAGACATTACGCCTGTTAAAAAGTGGTACGGATTCCATTTTCTCTACTTGCGAGTAAAGATGAAATTGCGTTTGTAGACTTGGTTAGATAATTTGTTATTCCCTCCTTTGCTTATTATCTGTAAATTTCCAGATCTTCATTTACATAACGTTTCCAATTCTATTAACTGTAAGCTATGGGTACCGTCCTGATAGGTGTCTGATCTAGATGTCCATTGGGCAATTAAGCAACTATGGTTGATATGTGACTTCAATTGCCATTCCGTGTTGTTTCCGGTATACATGTTCCCTGAAGCTTGTTTTGCTAATTAATACAAATTTGTTGTATGTTAAAACACCAACAAAACTGGTAAAAAATACATTTCACAACTTATATGTACAAAAATAAACCCAGATTGGCCACCAATCGTTTAGATTTAACCAAACATTAAACGTATATTAGTTATTTTTAAAGTGGTTTTGTGCTTGTAAGGGCAATGAAACATGATAAGCGCATTTTCAGTACAAAATGTATTGTGTCCCCGTTTATAATACATTAAAATGAAAAACAAATTGTGCAAAAATATATATAAGTTCTGTAGTTTTATCTGCAATGCTAACAAATATTAGAATCCAGTTTGTAAACAGAACCATACTACTCTTTATAACAGCATTTTGTCATAAACAGATGTCGAGTTTTTAGTCATAATCCATTCTGAGATATATAGAAGCACGTACCAATATTTTTGAGAATCATGTTGATTTTTTTCTATTGTGATATGGCATCGTCATTTATTTATATCTGAGGAGTAAAATCGCTCATGCATGGCTGTGCCCGGGCGCGCCCGATCAAAGGAATTTCAGAAAACAACGTAAAATTCTTCAATATTGTAACTCTCGATTTGAAGGTTGAAGGAATACATATCTGTTTTCAACTCTTTGGTACTGTTATAAAAATACCTAAGCTATCGCCATGATTTTGCAATGCCAGTTGGAAAACGTATGTCGCCAGACCTTTTGGGGCGATTTCATCCACCATTCACCTCTTGGTTATGTGATAGCAGATCATAGTACTACTGTCGATCGTCCGTGCAGTTGTTGCCTAAGAATGACGACCCAATTTCATGATATGGCTAGCGCTTTTGCGGAATATTTTTCCGACATCTGAAAAAATGGGAAAATGGTATTGTTGATCCAAGTCATGTGTTCATCAGACCTCCGGGTCCGAGACAGTCTGCGCCGAAGTGGTCTTGTATACCATTCCGCTCGCCACCCTTGACATTGAAATATGTACACTGATGAATTGTTGGGAGGTTTGGTCTCCAATAAGGTCCAGTCTTTACCCTAGTCCCTTACACACTAGACTTATTCAATGAATTCCAACACATTTTAATATTGATATACATAATTTCTCCATAGGTGGCCACACTTATCTAATGTAGGGTTTATCATGGGAAAAAATGGACAAATTGTAAAGAAAAATAATAACTACCACGCTTAAACAGATAACCACAACAAACCACACCTCACCTCACTAACTCTCCAATGAGTGGTACACTTATACACACATTTACATCATGGCATCGGACATACAGTCAAAGCATTTGATACAAAATCCACGTGCTAAAATAACGAACAACTTTGGAATAAATTAAAATTAATAACTGATAATTAATAATAAACAAATTCGAAAACGTCGGTATATGCCAAACGACGTTCTATAACTGGCTAAACTGCATATAGAGTAATAGAGAATTGTTGCTTCGTGGCCTTTTAATTTTAATGCAAATAATAGCGGGGTGTTAAAACTCCTAATTTGTTTTGTCAACAAGCTGAACACTCTTTATTATCTGGTCCACCCAAAAGCTGTATTTGTTCAATGTTATAAAGATTTCATAGGCACCTTCCCACTGTTTCTATTTCCTATACATGAAGCTATGATTTAATTGTGTTTATATAGTTCTTGTCAATACTTGATTGATATATTCATTTATTCTAATTGGATCAATGTCATTAAGACTATTTTAAACAATTAATCAGTTCTTATGGACATGACGGATTATCTTATAAGAATTTAAATATCACAGTAAATGCATGCCAAATTTCTGGATTTCAACCAGCGATTGAAAACTTATTTATTTTAAGACCGGTAATATAAACTTTAACTGATCATAAATTCTCCTAATATCTTATCTTGTATTTTACTCCCCAGGAACAAGTACAAAGGTTGCATTTTCAGCCTACGTTGCAAGTATAATTACTAACATGAGAACGGGATCCTTGATTGTGTTTGATGGACTGAGGCTGAATATCGGGAATTACTACAACCCTGCCCAAGGAACGTTCCGGTGTGGTGTTTCCGGTGTTTATATGTTCACATGGTCTATTTATGTCCGTGCTGGACATGAGTTGTCCACAAGATTAGACGTTAACGGAAGGTCAATTGGATTTGCATTTGCTTATAGTCCAAACAACAAAGTCAAAAGTGGGTCCAGCTCTACCATAATTAATTTACATGTTGGAGATACTGTTTTCGTTCGTGGTTACTATCCTGTATCGGCTGGTGTAGATATTGAAATTGAATCTTCATTTTCGGGATTTCTACTAAACTAACACTATCACCATACTGATGATACACAAGTATTGTAGATTGTGT